AGTCAATGGACTGACAGGTAGGACGCACGTGTAGCAGTCAATGGATCTGACAGGTAGGACGCACATGCACGGATAGGACGCACATGTAGCAGTCAATGGATCTGACAGGTAGGACGCACGTGTAGCAGTCAATGGATCTGACAGGTAGGACGCACGTGTAGCAGTCAATGGATCTGACAGGTAGGACGCAGGTAGGACGCACGTGTAGCAGTCAATGGATCTGACAGGTAGGACGCACGTGTAGCAGGATCAGTCAATGGTTCCGACAGGTAGGACGCACGTGTAGCAGTCAATGGTTCCGACAGGTAGGACGCACGTGTAGCAGTCAATGGATCTGACAGGTAGGACGCACGTGTAGCAGTCAATGGATCTGACAGGTAGGACGCACGTGTAGCAGTCAATGGTTCCGACAGGTAGGACGCACGTGTAGCAGTCAATGGTTCCGACAGGTAGGACGCACGTGTAGCAGTCAATGGATCTGACAGGTAGGACGCACGTGTAGCAGTCAATGGATCTGACGGGTAGGACGCACGTGTAGCAGTCAATGGTTCCGACAGGTAGGACGCACGTGTAGCAGTCAATGGTTCCGACAGGTAGGACGCACGTGTAGCAGTCAATGGATCTGACAGGTAGGACGCACGTGTAGCAGTCAATGGATCTGACAGGTAGGACGCATGTGTAGCAGTCAATGGTTCCGACAGGTAGGACGCACATGTAGCTGTCAATGAATCTCACAGGCAGGATGCACATGTAGCATTCAGTACGTCTGTTTTAAGAATGTAACAAATGTCAGATTGTTCTTGTTTTCAATTTATATTAAAAAGAAGCTAATGATGCCATACTACGGAGACCTCGAAAAACGAGTGAAGGTCTGTCAAGTGACTGATGGTATGAGTAACGTCACCCCGGGTAGATGACGCGCCACCAACCAAGTGACAGAGCCTGAACATCCTTGCCATTTAGCCGTCACCTGTACACTGTACATAGGTTGCTGGGGGGTGTACAACAAGGAAACCATCTACAACAGGTACACTGTACATAGGTTGCTGGGGACTGTTTGTACAACAAGGAAACCATCTACAACAGGTACATTGTACATAGGTTGCTGGGGGTGTACAACAAGGAAACCATCTACAACAGGTACACTGTACATAGGTTGCTGGGGGTGTACAACAAGGAAACCATCTACAACAGGTACACTGTACATAGGTTGCTGGGGGTGTACAACAAGGAAACCATCTACAACAGGTACACTGTACATAGGTTGCTGGGGGTGTACAACAAGGAAACCATCTACAACAGGTACACTGTACATAGGTTGCTGGGGGTGTACAACAAGGAAAACCATCTACAACAGGTACACTGTACATAGGTTGCTGAGGGTGTACAACAAGGAAACCATCTACAACAGGTACACTGTACATAGGTTGCTGGGGTGTACAACAAGGAAACCATCTACAACAGGTACACTGTACATAGGTTGCTGGGGTGTACAACAAGGAAACCATCTACAACAGGTACACTGTACATAGGTTGCTGGGGTGTACAACAAGGAAACCATCTACAACAGGTACACTGTACATAGGTTGCTGGGGGTGTACAACAAGGAAACCATCTACAACAGGTACACTGTACATAGGTTGCTGGGGGTGTACAACAAGGAAACCATCTACAACAGGTACACTGTACATAGGTTGCTGGGGTGTACAACAAGGAAACCATCTACAACAGGTACACTGTACATAGGTTGCTGGGGACTGTTTGTACAACAAGGAAACCATCTACAACAGGTACACTGTACATAGGTTGCTGAGGGTGTACAACAAGGAAACCATCTACAACAGGTACACTGTACATAGGTTGCTGGGGACTGTTTGTACAACAAGGAAACCATCTACAACAGGTACACGTCACTGCAGGTCACCCGGCAGGTCCAACAGTTAGATGAGTGGAATATAAGAAACCTGACCTCAATTTGACATATAATAACTGTTTACTTTCAACCACCTCGGATCAATTCCTTTGTCATTGTCTTTGAAACATCGGTTATAGAATGTTGTGATGGTATCGATCGGAATCAACCACTGACTGTATGCAGCATGTGGCATGTTTACGTTTCGGGCAAATTGTCGGACAATGTCACGATAGATGTCTTTCATTTTCAACAACATACACCGGAGTTATTTTGACACATTAGATACAAATCTGCTATTTATGCAAAATGGATTAGTCAAGAAAAGAACAGTTCCTAATATTCATTACGAAATGTTTGTAAAACGAATGTCATACGAGACAATATTATACAGTCGCCTATACATAGATATCTATGCGGCACAGTTATTTATGAAATCGTTCCACGTGTGCCTATTCCCTCACATCTCTGAAGCTATTTTTTGCTTTCTTTTAAATAAAGATAGATAGTTTAAGGTATACCTCCCCTTCATTTTCTTCATATACATTTATACATTTAAAACATAACAGTAAATAGATTTCTTGAATGGGTAAAGCAATGTTATTTTCAGTAAACTATATTTACCATGAATTAAACCTGATGTATATAGAGACGACCAAATTTCAGTCAGTTTTCTTCATTTTCTCCTACCGATGCCGGTGCAGATGCAGGTGAGATCTCGCTAGACGACTAAAGCATGTCCACCGTACATGGTAGTAAGGGAAGACACACAGCTCCTTCCGGGTAGTAACTTTATAACTCCCATTCTTTTCATACAAAAAACACTTTCGCCATTTCTCGTGGTCCTCTTCAACAGTAAGGATAATATGAACTTACATTCAGTAACAGCAGTTGAAACGTCTACATACCCAATCCCTGTAAGCAAACACCGTAACCACCTTTTCTCTGTCTCTGCCGGTTTTCTCACGTGTTTCTTATTACTATTACACCACTGAATCGGCTTCAGTGGGGCAGACAATCTATTATTAAAAGCTACGGTCCGACCTAGCTGGGATGTGAGCGAGCGCCATTTCTTTACAATATCTTACAAATGCTATCCAATGATACTGAATAAAGATTCTGATGACATGGAGTTTTATACCCGTGGTTGTTAGTTCTACCAATTAATCTTAATATTCATAATAGATTTATAAATGTATCTTTAAATTCCTCATAGTGGACAGACACGTGATCCCGGTCGGACTGTGATTCGGAATAGATTAGGCCTCCGTGACAAAGAAATTAGAATTCAATCCGGATGACAAAGCTTTTCATCGCACGAGGATATTTTTTTAATTGTTCGGGTCATGGTGGGATAATTGCTTTGAAGCGTCTGGTGTTTCACATCTGATTTCATGATGAATCAGGATTGGAGAAGTGATACGCACACAGGAATAATGGTTCAGTTGTGATTCATCATCTTCTCAACACCGCCAAGACAAACTATCTATTACACGAGCGAGACATTCAGGCGATATAATACAAAAACTTTCAATGAAAATTATCGGTACACCAAAGTTTCTACACACAGTAACATTCTGTTATTACTTCTGCCATTTCAACTCAAAGTATAAATGCTAAAATGTTTTAGTATTTATGTACAAACGTCATGTAAGCGATCCTATGACATTATGACACTTCGTCACAAATGATTGCAAATGATATCAAGAATAATGACGACCAAAACGGCTTCCCTGCTGCACCCGCTGTAACTGACAGTTCAGTGTGTTTGATCGAACCATTCAAATATTTTGTTGCCGAGAGTTGAACTTTAAGGACAACCAGTTCATAGTTCTCCAACCAGTGTTCTCCCAACTCAGGATGACTGCCTGTGGCAGTCAGACAGATGGGAAGTGGTATTCGTGTTTGGCGGTTGAACTGTATGTCAATCAATTCTTTGTTGCCTTTAAACAAAGTGGTCGGATAACGAACACTGGGGACATATGGCTTAAGACATTTGCTTGTAGATTTGGGTAATATTGGATTTGTCCGAGATAGGAACACTGGGGCTTATGATAGAGAAAATGGTGTTTAAACCAGCGACCAGAGATTGCAAAGGATAGCAGACTGGGATCAGTCACAGTATATATTTAAATGGGAGACAAGTAAAGTTTACCCTTGAGCAAATATACTTCCTTCAGTTGGGAAATACAATACGAAATTCAGACAATACACCATGAAGCTGGAAAATGATGCCTTATGACATAAATTCAAAACATAGTGTATCGCCAAATAGAAAAAATATAGAAAATCCGACGTTAAGACGAAACCGACCATGGTGTAGGCTACTACAAAAGACTTTCCTCAGTGAGTGTCATGTGAACATTCTTCTATAATGACAAATCCTCATATGATATTCAGCCTCACAATGGTTAGCCGTTGCGTGTCTGCTCAGTCAGTCCCTTTATCTTTTGAAAACGCACTAGGGTGTGGCGTTTCATAGACCGCCTAATACGTTTTATTGGTAGTCAGTGTCAACATTTAAGCATTAGAAAGGACCATCTCCCACAAAAAGGTTTACTTGACCCAGATCCTCGGTGTTATAGGAAGATGACTTACTGGTCAAGTTAGTAGAAGCAATGTAGAGCTAAAGAAATTGAAATGTTGCTTCTAGAAAGGTACCTCTGTATTCGAATTGTCGGAAAGAGATTGTGTTATATTTATACTTTAAATGTAATTCATTTATACACTGTGATGAATGTACGGTTGTTTTCGATGAGTTCTAGAAAAGGTTTTCAATCATCAAACCTTGAAATTTACAATGAAATTAATGTCACAGTCCAACGCCTCTGTCGTAAAATGGCAATTGACAGGTAACGGGGAGAACACAAAATGCAATCAGACGTTTTCATTTCTCGCTATCGAATGCAACATGACGCAAATCGCAGGTGTCACATGCGGCTCCAGTCGATATCACAGGTCATTCGACACGACCTGGTACAAAGGATAACATTGAGCAAAATCAGGACAGTGTTCATTATCCTTTCGTAAAAATACATCTCTGTTAAAAAGACACATACAAACTGTATGGCCGAAGGAAACAACGTACCTCTGTTTATCTGCCATCGTTTGTTGAAACTCCGAGATTCATGTCATAGGACTATAGACTTGGCAGGGTGGCATAAGGAAAGTCGAACTCAGCCCTCCCAGTACAGATATACAATTTCCAAGTTCACATTGTATCCTGATTGTGGATTCCCTTCAAAAGTAATCCCGGACTGAGCTGTGCCCCTTGACCCGTCTGCTTCCCGACTTAAACGCAGCAGACAACAAAACTAACTCACTGACTGCCAGCCATCTGCCTACCTGTCAAACACTGTATCGCATTGTTAAGACGAGTTAGCTCCCTTCGTAAACAACGCATCGCTCCCCCCGGTATAGCGTGTTTTCCGATTGAGGCTTGGCTGTCAATGTCGCGAAGGCCACCACATCAAGTCTTTCACTGACATTGTTTACTGTAAGTACGGCAGTAATGATTACTTTCGATATTGTGAAGTCAAGGCAGAAAGTACGTAGGTTTTTCTTCAATAAAACATGAAGTTAATGTAAGAAATGAGCCACACGATGCATAGTAGGCTACTAATCCATCATCTGACTTGGCGTTGATAATTACTTGATAAAACAAATGGTCGATAGATTATTGATATGTCAGGGGATATATTCATACATCCCTAGGAGCCTTACTAGGGATGTGTCAAAAACAGCGTAGGTCATTATGATTTATTATGTATTAATGCTAGTATACATTAATACAGATGCGGTTCCTCCGGGAACATCTTACACAGTTGTACTTCCACATTTAACATAAGAAAGCAGTATGGGCCTCTAGTACTGTTGTATTGACGAATACGAGTAAATGGCCCTGCGTCCTGACGTAACACAGCGACCGTGACCTGTCTATCTGTGTCTTATTATTGATCAAATCCGACCACTACTCCCAATACCCCAGTCACAGACAGGGATTAAACTGTCATTTATTAAAGCCGAATGAAACATTTAAGTTATAAAACAACATACATACATGTAAGATCGAAGCAGGTAAACACATACATTTGTTTTCTTTCTACATTTTCTCCATAGTTCCAACGTCTAACTTCATGCCACTTGATCGCACCCCGCACCCCAAATCAATCAGACCCCGAAAAATGGTCATCATCACAGAGAGGAAATTAAGTTACTAAGAAAATTTGGAATTCTTTTAACAAATGAATTATTTCTAAACAGCAACTGGAGTGATGACGTCAGTTGCTGCCAGGAAGCAGTGATATGAAATATGTCCAAATCACGGCTGCTAACGCCCATGGTTGTCATTGATGACTCTACTAGTAAGTATTGCTGCCCCGGTATTGTAATGAAACCAAGCTTAGACTCAGCCCCAGTGTACATTCCTGTTTCACAACCTTAATGGCATCATTGTATATATGCTGCTGTCAACATACGTTGGTTTTGTATAACATTCGTGTGTGACACCTGTTCATCTGTTACAGGTTACATACAAGGACGAGTGTTTATTATCGATCGAAACCTGTTATCTGAAATATACGGCCTCACCCAGATGTTTGATAAGCTGATAGGGTCCGCGTAAATAATGCAGATAAGCATAACAGCACGGATTTGTATACGAAGGGAGGTTACTGGTAAAGGGGAGGATCCACTGGAGTCACATGGTCCATCAAAACGGGTAATTTATTGGAGCTCTAAATTACGGGGTAAGAATGTAGAAGTTGCAAAACGGGAGCTTAATAAAACCCGGACATCTCCTCTCTCCACACACACACACACACACGCAGAGAAAATGCAATCACTTGTGTTATGGAACTACGTTCCCGCCTTTCCTGTCTTTTTTCGGTTAATATTACCTGGACCTTAATTAGGCGCAGTAGGGGGCAAGTAGTAGATTGGTTGATTGAGCTTTACGCCGAACTCAGCAATATTACAGCTATTTTTGCGGCGGTCTGTAAATAATCGAGTTTGGACCCGACAATCCAGTGATCCACAGCATGATCATCGGTCTATGCAATTAAGATACGATGACATGTGTCAACCAAGTCAGCGAGCCTGACCACCCGATCCCGTTAGTCGCCTCTTACGACAAGCATGGGCTGCTGAAGATCTCACCGGGATCTTCACGGGTAGTAGTACTAGTAGTAGTAGAACTGTGGCAACGGTTATTGTTTTGGTAGTAGAAGTATGTAGCATGGAGTAGTAGTAGTAGTAGTAGTGATGGTAGTAGTGATGATAGTAGTGGTGGTGGTGGTAGTGGTAGTGGTAGTGGTGGTGGTGGTAGAAGTGTGTGGTATGTCGGTTTCCATGTTTAACTGTTGGCATCAGGGGAAAAGCTTTATGGAGGGTCTCACTTGTCTTCTGCGTGAGAACGGTTGGCGAAACGATCGTGTGCGAGTTCTGGTAATGGTTGAGTGTAGAGTTAGTGAGTGTAGTTTGGTAAATCACAAAAGCTATGTTACAGCTGATAACATATCTCAAGTTCACGTCGTAAATAAAACCCACCTTCGTGGTTTGGACGGTTTGAACATTTAATTTGATACCACTGAATGCGATTACCGTAGGACTGAGAATCAAGTAGATCATATATATGCGTTGGGCTGAACCATATGCTTCTTGTCATATTTATGCGTTGGGCTGAACCATGTGCTTCTTGTCTAGGCGTGTAGCTCGATAGGTTGCAAAGCTTTATATTTAGATAGTATTGAGGGCTTGCCCAACCTTTTTAGCAGCAATCATGTGTAAGCCCGGGCTTTTTTATAATGGTAGCTACGCCCCTGTTGTCGTATCTGTGCGTTTGACTGAACCATGTGTTTTTTTCATATTTATGCGTGGGGTTGAATCAATTGCTTCTTGTCATACTTGGTTTAATTTCCGAATGTATCACACGAAATAATTGATAATGACAATACCTATTTGCATGATTAATAGAGCATTGTATTCAAGTTGAACTGGAACTGTTCTTAATTCTGAATCCGCACTGCCTTGCATCGTCAACAACGGACGAGACAAAGCCCATTCATCCTCTGGTGAAACTAAGCTAGAAGTGAACATGTTTCCAACACTGAGATGTTTATTCTTCTACATGCTGCTGAAAGGTGCCATTCCCATCCGAGTCGTGTTCTCACTGCCCATTACAGATCCCTGTAGACATGCAATCTAAACCCAATCTTTTTCAGGTGCATTTCATTGAAAACAAAACGCCGGAGACACTCTTTGTTCAGGATGCCTTGCTAAGTTCCAAACTGATGGTTTCCCTACCTTTGATCATGTGGTATCTGTGGCTTGGTTTGTGACCTAATCTGGGGACCTTCATAGCACGTCGATATACGCCGCCTCGCTGTGATGAGAAAGGGGACATTGATAAACTTGCTCACTTCTTCCAACGTGGCCACGTGCACGACCCGCGTTGTCAATAGTAACGCAAGGAAAGTAAATTTCTATGTCCTTGAATGTTGCTTCTAATGATGTGTTGTCTGTCTGCATTGGGTCGTGGCAGTGCACAACCAGCCTGTCTTGCCTTGTAACATTTATGGACGTTTGAACTGTAGTTTTATAAGGATCATTACGAGTTGCGTGATCGCTAAGCTTTGCCTCGGCATGATAGACGGGTTGACAAGCGTGGTGTGAACGTGAGAACGTGGGGTGTAGAATCAGTGATGTAACTCCTGGATACACTGTTCCAGTGGACGCTTCCAAATGCCTGTTAACATAAACAGAATTTCTGCAAGTCTCTGGAATGTTTTGTAACGGATGTAGGTCAGTAAAGGGGACATATAGATAGATATACAGTCTGACGTGCCAGCTTAATGATGGGGACAGTTTCGTGGTACCAAGGAGAAAAATACAAATAATGTACTTTCCTACAATGTCGAACCCTTTCAATCTTTGCTAAAGGAAACGTCTACACATGACACATATTCCGTCTTGTCTATGAAGATCTGCACCCTATATCACGCACCTATCAATCTATTGAATCGCCTTCATACATCTCATATGTCCTACTGGTTCAAAAGATGCGAGATGCTGCTTAAGTTAGCTAGTGACTGAGCATGGTGTGTACCCCATCCTAACGTTATTCCAGACACATGACGGTACATCAGATATGGGATTCACACATTACATAAATCACGCGGGGAGTCAAAACGATGTTTTCGGCATGACGATCGAACTTTAATCGATAAATAGTAACTTTTGAATTTGTACGTCATATCCCGAGAAGAAAGTACGTTCACAATACAAGGTATACTTCACATACAATGTCAATGTTTACCTAATGTTACATTGCTTAAAGAAAAAATAATCAATGAATCGACGAATTTTACGTCCGTTTCTTTGCCGGGTCAGGCTGCCTTTCTGCACATATTTTGAGAGAAAGTTGGGCCTTGAGCTCAGCAATGCAATGATGCAAACGTGGTCATAACAAAAATGTTAATTACAATTTGACGAAGAACCAAACAAAGTTATGAGTAGACGTCCATACTACACAGGAATACATGTAGATATATTTTGTCGCTACCCATTCGGCTTTTAGACAACCAGGAGAAGGTGCAGCGTAGCCCAAAGGAGTTACTTCCCTTTTCAAGTTAAAACAACGTGTTTGAAGGGGAGAATCATGTTTTATTTCATTCACATACATATATGGAATACCAGTTTAAGAAATTAGTTAACATGTTAATGTACTATTGTTTAAAGCAGGTATGCACATGAAGTATATGATGTAATCAATCTAAGTCTGGGAGTCACCCTTCTCACATCAGATCAACATCGCTGGCACATAAATCAGTTCCTATTTGTTAGTGTCTACGAACAAGCCTTACGAACTTGGCAAACAAAGCACTAAGTCAAAGACAGTAACAAAAGACAAGAGAAAAGACCCGTTCACTGGCTGGTATGTCACTGTAGGCACACATCAACAGAACATATTGAACACACTCGTCAGAGTGAAGGACAGCCATCATTAGAATGAGCACATTCACATTTACAATTCTGCCGTTTATTTTCTGACATGAATTTTTAAAACAATACGTACACAGCTTGTGTAGCTCCAGAAAAAACAACGCTCAGACAATTCGTTTACTAAGATTATCGACGTAAACATCCCTTTATGTTTTAATGTATTGCAATATTCCACATTTGTTAATGTAGAATGGAGTATTCAAAACGATATACCGATATCATTGTAGTGTTCCGACCCAGCGTGGTGGACCCTGTCGATGAAACATGTGACACTATGATTTGTACACGTATCTCAGCTATCAACACGCACAATTAGACAATATTACTGACATGAATTAATTATTCCCATAAACTGGTACCTAACTGCCTCGCAGGTTGTACAACATGCTTAGTGAAACAGACAGTGAGTACCAGTTTAGATTCCCGTTTACCGAACTGTGAACTAACAGAGAGCTAAAGCGTTGAATTGAATATTTACTCAGTGCATCACTCTGAATAAACATTACGCACACCTTAGGAATTCGTCGTTTCATACATAATAAATTATTATTTCAAGAAGATTTCTTCAAAATCAAACAACAGAATTATTCATTGGTAGACACGTGCACGTGCCACAGACGTCCACTATGACGTTTATGTGAATGCATGTACCACAGACGTCCACTATGACGTTTATGTGAATGCATGTACCACAGACGTCCACTATGACGTTTATGTGAATGCAAGTACCACAGACGTCCACTATGACGTTTATGTGAATGCAAGTACCACAGGAGTCCATTATGACAATCACCATAACGTACCTCACTATATGCAAGGATTTTACATACAAACGATGGTTAACTGAGTTTCAAGTGGAAAGACTGTGTCTAAAGACATTGAAATGCTGTCCACATCCTCCTCTTCCACACTAACACACCTCTGCCAAATATGTTGGAGAGATATTTTCCCAGTTTCATAAAGTCTTTTTCTTGGGTGTCTAAAATGTTCTCGGCACTGCCCTGACGTCATCGTTGGAGTTGTTATGGGTTGCGACAAGAGTAGAGAGCAGACTGACGGAGCCAGGAGAATTATATGAGTTTTGAAGGATTTGAAACCCACATTCATGGACTGTAACCATGGTAATGAATGATTTTTGCATTTGCCCATTGTCCGAATGAAAGAGCACACCTTTTCTAATCTTCCAATGTCTCTTTGTCTTAATTTCTTCCTAATTGCCTTAACAAAAGATTGTGTTATTATGCAATGAAGAGTTTGGAACCTGTCACTAACTATAGTATGCTCCCCGAATTGTTATTATCTCGCCATGTAACCTAACTGTACACAAGTTCCTGGAATAGATACGACATCACACTAAAAGGCGATCGAAGCGCATAAAAATCGTCGTCCACCAGCTGAACCTACACTTACATTGGATTTCACTTACATCACAAAACAACCGTCATTCACCACCTGTAGTTTCACGTACATTCACTTACAGCACAAAACAACCATCATTCACCACCTGTAGTTTCACGTACATTCACTTACAGCACAAAACAACCATCATTCACCAGCTGTAGTTTCACGTGCATTCGCTTACATCACAAAACAACCATCATTCACCACCTGTAGTTTCACGTACATTCACTTACATCACAAAACAACCATCATTCACCACCTGTAGTTTCACGTGCATTCGCTTACATCACAAAACAACCGTCATTCACCACCTGTAGTTTCACGTACATTCACTTACATCACAAAACAACCGTCATTCACCACCTGTAGTTTCACGTACATTCACTTACATCACAAAACAACCGTCATTCACCAGCTGTAGTTTCACGTACATTCACTTACATCACAAAACAACCATCATTCACCAGCTGTAGTTTCACGTACATTCACTTACATCACAAAACAACCATCATTCACCAGCTGTAGTTTCACGTACATTCACTTACATCACAAACTGCAAACAACCGTCATTCACCACCTGTAGTTTCACGTACATTCACTTACATCATCAACCATCATTCACCAGCTGTAGTTTCACGTACATTCACTTACAGCACAAAACAACCGTCATTCACCACCTGTAGTTTCACGTACATTCACTTACAGCACAAAACAACCATCATTCACCACCTGTAGTTTCACGTACATTCGCTTACAGCACAAAACAACCGTCATTCACCAGCTGTAGTTTCACGTACATTCACTTACAGCACAAAACAACCATCATTCACCAGCTGTAGTTTCACGTACATTCACTTACATCACAAAACAACCATCATTCACCAGCTGTAGTTTCACGTACATTCACTTACAGCACAAAACAACCGTCATTCACCAGCTGTAGTTTCACGTACATTCACTTACATCACAAAACAACCGTACATTCACTTACAGCAAAACAACCATCATGTTTCAGTTTCACGTACATTCAGTTTCACACATTCACTTACAGCACAAACAACCATCATTCACCACCTGTAGTTTCACGTACATTCACTTACAGCACAAAACAACCGTCATTCACCACCTGTAGTTTCACGTACATTCACTTACAGCACAAAACAACATTCACAACCGTCATTCACCAGCTGTAGTTTCACGTACATTCACTTACAGCACATAACAACCGTCATTCACCAGCTGTAGTTTCACGTACATTCACTTACAGCACATAACAACCGTCATTCACCAGCTGTAGTTTCACGTACATTCACTTACAACACATAGCAACCATCACTCACCAGCTGTAGTTTCACGTACATTCACTTACAGCACAAAACAACCGTCATTCACCAGCTGTAGTTTCACGTACATTCACTTACAGCACATAACAACCGTCATTCACCAGCTGTAGTTTCACGTACATTCACTTACAACACATAGCAACCGTCATTCACCACCTGTAGTTTCACGTACATTCACTTACAGCACAAAACAACCGTCATTCACCAGCTGTAGTTTCACGTACATTCGCTTACAGCACATAAACAACCGTCATTCACCAGCTGTAGTTTCACGTACATTCACTTACAGCACATAACAACCGTCATTCACCAGCTGTAGTTTCACGTACACATTCACTTACACACATAGCAACCGTCACGTACATTCACTTACACCAGCATTCACCAGCTGTAGTTTCACGTACATTCACTTACAACACATAACAACCGTCATTCACCAGCTGTAGTTTCACGTACATTCACTTACAGCAGATAGCAACCGTCATTCACCAGCTGTAGTTTCACGTACATTCACTTACAGCACATAACAACCGTCATTCACCAGCTGTAGTTTCACGTACATTCACTTACAACACATAGCAACCGTCACGTACATTCACTTTCACAGCAGTTGTAAACCGTCATATTCACGTACATTCACTTACAGCACAAAACAACCGTCATTCACCAGCTGTAGTTTCACGTACATTCACTTACAACACATAACAACCGTCATTCACCAGCTGTAGTTTCACGTACATTCACTTACATGACATAAAACCGTCATTCACCAGCTGTAGTTTCACGTACATTCACTTAAAACGCATATCAACCGTCGTTTACCAGCAGTAGTAACATATATACTCACTTATATCCATGTATACAACGTTGTGCACCAGCTGTTGTAACGTATGTGTTCTCTTATATCCACTTATACGACGTTGTGCATCAGCTGTTTAACAGTAGTAACCCATACATTCCCTTATCTCCACGTATATGACGTTGTGCACTAGCTGTAGTAATCGATACGTTCACTTATATCCACGTATACGACGTAGTGCATCAGCTGTAGCAACCTATACGTTCACTATATCCACGTGTACGACGTGCACCAGCTGTAGTAACCTATACGTTCACTATATCCACGTGTACGACGTGCACCAGCTGTAGTAACCTATGCGTTCACTATATCCACGTGTACGACGTGCACCAGCTGTAGTAACCTATGCGTTCACTTATATCCACGTGTACGACGTGCACCAGCTGTAGTAACCTTTACGTTCACTTATATCCACGTATACGACGTTGTGCACCAGCTGTAGTAACCTATACGTTCACTATATCCACGTGTACGACGTGCACCAGCTGTAGTAACCTATGCGTTCACTTATATCCACGTGTACGACGCGCACCAGCTGTAGTAACCTTTACGTTCACTTTATCCACGTATACGACGTTGTGCATCAGCTGAAGTAACCCATACGTTCACTTATATCCACGTGTACGACGTTGTGCACCAGCTGTAGTAACCTATACGTTCACTTATATCCACGTGTACGACGTGCACCGGCTGAAGCAAACCACACATGTCTTTATTGCCACGTGTCCACCGTCATGCACTTTGTGCAGAGACCTGAGCCTTAACTAAGGGACTGGCAAGATGTATTCCAACACGTAATGTATGCTAAAGGAAAACGGATAACACTATACGTTTATCTCCAGTGATCTATGGACGAGGGAGAACGGGAGACGAAGGAAGGAAGCCAAACATGGACTGACTGCACGAGTGTAGATGACAATACATTCACAGCAGAGCAATGGAACGACAGCATTGAAACTACATATATTGCACTTGACACGATCGATGATATGCTCCCCTGTAATATTCTTACCAATTTGGAATATTTATGTTCTTGGATAGCAACCATATATTCATTGCTGCCAAGCGACACATTAATGTTTGTGAAATATTAGTTGTAAACTATGTTTGGTCTGTTTGGCTTCAAGTAACTGATGTCACTGTCATAGGCGGCCTGCAACAACTACAGCACAGACTCTCGCACATTCCTCCACTCTTGTCAGTGGTTCTACGTGTCTGCATGGGCTCTCCATCTCTGTAAAAGTGTAGGTCAAGGTCAGATTCGACCAATACAGTTGAGCGACGATGACAGGTACATGCTCACGTTCCTTCTGAAAGAAAAAGGCCATCATACACTAAGAGCAAACATCAGAATCGTGAATGTCCATACATACTTCATGTAGGTAATACTGTGCCGTCACAGTGCCGTATGTCCGCTGCCACTTCTATCTTGTCATATTTGTAGACATACTTCATGTAGGTAATACTGTACCGTCACAGTTCTGCATGTCCGCTGCCACTTCTATCTTGTCATATTTGTATGTACATACTTTCATGTAGGTAATACTGTACCGTCACAGTTCTGTATGTCCGTTGCCACTTCTATCTTGTCATATTTGTAGACATACTTTCATGTAGGTAATACTGTACCGTCACAGTTCTGTATGTCCGCTGCCACTTCTATCTTGTCATATTTGTACACATACTTTCATGTAGGTAATACTGTACCGTCACAGTTCTGTATGTCCGCTGCCACTTCTATCTTGTCATATTTGTATACATACTTTCATGTAGGTAATACTGTACCGTCACAGTTCTGTATGTCCGCTGCCACTTCTATCTTGTCATATTTGTATACATACTTTCATGTAGGTAATACTGTACCGTCACAGTTCTGTATGTCCGCCGCCACTTCTATCTTGTCATATTTGTATGTACATACTTTCATGTAGGTAATACTGTACCGTCACAGTTCTGTATGTCCGCTGCCACTTCTATCTTGTCATATTTGTATGTACATACTTTCATGTAGGTAATACTGTACCGTCACAGTTCTGTATGTCCGCTGCCACTTCTATCTTGTCATATTTGTATACATACTTTCATGTAGGTAATACTGTGCCGTCACAGTTCTGTATGTCCGCTGCCACTTCTATCTTGTCATATTTGTATGTACATACTTTCATGTAGGTAATACTGTGCCGTCACAGTATGTCCGCTGCCATTTCTATCTTGTCATATTTGTATACATACTTTCATGTAGGTAATACTGTACCGTCACAGTGTTGTTATGTCCGCTGCCACTTCTATCTTGTCATATTTGTATGTACATGCTCTTCAAGTAGGTAACCGTTGCCACTTCTATTTTGTCGTATTTGTATACATACACTTTCATGTAGGTAATACTGTACCGTCACAGTTGTTGTATGTCCGCTGCCACTTCTATCTTGTCATCATGTACGTACTTTCATGTAGGTAATACTGTACCGTCACAGTATGTCCGCTGCCACTTCTATCTTGTCATATTTGTACACATACTTTCATGTAGGTAATTCTGTACCGTCACAGTTCTGAATATCCGCTGCCACTTCTTTCTTGTCATATTTGTATGTACATACTTTCATGTCGGTAATACTGTGCCGTCACAGTGCTGTATGTCCGCTGCCACTTCTATCTTGTCATTTTTGTATGTACATACTTTCATGTAGGTAATACTGTACCGTCACAGTGTTGTATGTCCGCCGCCACTTCTATCTTGTCATATTTGTATGTACATACTTTCATGTAGGTAATACTGTACCGTCACAGTTCTGCATGTCCGCTGCCACTTCTATCTTGTCATATTTGTATACATACTTTCATGTAGGTAATACTGTACCGTCACAGTTCTGTATGTCCGCTGCCACTTCTATCTTGTCATATTTGTATACATACTTTCATGTAGGTAATACTGTGCCGTCACAGTTCTGTATGTCCGCCGCCACTTCTATCTTGTCATATTTGTATGTACATACTTTCATGTAGGTAATACTGTGCCGTCACAGTGCCGTATGTCCGCTGCCATTTCTATCTTGTCATATTTGTATACATACTTTCATGTAGGTAATACTGTACCGTCACAGTGTTGTATGTCCGCTGCCACTTCTATCTTGTCATTTTTGTATGTACATACTTTCAAGTAGGTAAAACTGTACCGTCATAGTTCTGCATGTCCGTTGCCACTTCTATTTTGTCGTATTTGTATACATACTTTCATGTAGGTAATACTGTACCGTCACAGTGTTGTATGTCCGCTGCCACTTCTATCTTGTCATTTTTGTATGTACGTACTTTCATGTAGGTAATACTGTACCGTCACAGTGTTGTATGTCCGCTGCCACTTCTATCTTGTCATATTTGTACACATACTTTCATGTAGGTAATTCTGTACCGTCACAGTTCTGAATATCCGCTGCCACTTCTTTCTTGTCATATTTGTATGTACATACTTTCATGTAGGTAATACTGTACCGTCACAGTTCTGTATGTCCGCTGCCACGTCTATCTTGTCATATTTGTACACATACTTTCATGTAGGTAATACTGTACCGTCACAGTGTTGTATGTCCGCTGCCACTTCTATCTTGTCATATTTGTACACATACTTTCATGTAGGTAATTCTGTACCGTCACAGTTCTGTATGTCCGCTGCCACTTCTATCTTGTCATATTTGTATGTACATACTTTCATGTAGGTAATACTGTACCGTCACAGTTCTGTATGTCCGCTGCCACTTCTATCTTGTCATATTTGTATACATACTTTCATGTAGGTAATACTGTGCCGTCACAGTTCTGTATGTCCGCTGCCACTTCTATCTTGTCATATTTGTATGTACATACTTTCATGTAGGTAATACTGTACCGTCACAGTTCTGTATGTCCGCTGCCACTTCTATCTTGTCATATTTGTATACATACTTTCATGTAGGTAATACTGTACCGTCACAGTGTTGTATGTCCGCCGCCACTTCTATCTTGTCATATTTGTATGTACATACTTTCATGTAGGTAATACTGTACCGTCACAGTTCTGCATGTCCGCCGCCACTTCTATCTTGTCATATTTGTATACATACTTTCATGTAGGTAATACTGTACCGTCACAGTTTGTATGTCCGCTGCCACTTCTATCTTGTCATATTTGTATGTACGTACTTTCATGTAGGTAATACTGTACCGTCACAGTGTTGTATGTCCGCTGCCACTTCTATCTTGTCATATTTGTACACATACTACTTTCATGTAGGTAATTCTGTACCGTCACAGTTCTGAATATCCGCTGCCACTTCTTTCTTGTCATATTTGTATGTACATACTTTCATGTAGGTAATACTGTACCGTCACAGTTCTGTATGTCCGCTGCCACGTCTATCTTGTCATATTTGTACACATACTTTCATGTAGGTAATACTGTACCGTCACAGTGTTGTATGTCCGCTGCCACTTCTATCTTGTCATATTTGTACACATACTTTCATGTAGGTAATTCTGTACCGTCACAGTTCTGTATGTCCGCTGCCACTTCTTTCTTGTCATATTTGTATGTACATACTTTCATGTAGGTAATACTGTACCGTCACAGTTCTGTATGTCCGCTGCCACGTCTATCTTGTCATATTTGGACACATACTTTCATGTAGGTAATACTGTACCGTCACAGTTCTGTATGTCCGCTGCCACTTCTATCTTGTCATATTTGTATACATTCTTTCATGTCGGTAATACTGTGCCGTCACAGTTCTGTATGTCCGCTGCCACTTCTATCTTGTCATTTTTGTATGTACATACTTTCATGTAGGTAATACTGTACCGTCACAGTGTTGTATGTCCGCCGCCACTTCTATCTTGTCATATTTGTATGTACATACTTTCATGTAGGTAATACTGTACCGTCACAGTTCTGCATGTCCGCTGCCACTTCTATCTTGTCATATTTGTATACATACTTTCATGTAGGTAATACTGTACCGTCACAGTTCTGTATGTCCGCTGCCACTTCTATCTTGTCATATTTGTATACATACTTTCATGTAGGTAATACTGTGCCGTCACAGTTCTGTATGTCCGTTGCCACTTCTATCTTGTCATATTTGTATGTACATACTTTCATGTAGGTAATACTGTACCGTCACAGTGTTGTATGTCCGCCGCCACTTCTATCTTGTCATATTTGTATGTACATACTTTCATGTAGGTAATACTGTACCGTCACAGTTCTGCATGTCCGCTGCCACTTCTATCTTGTCATATTTGTATACATACTTTCATGTAGGTAATACTGTACCGTCACAGTTCTGTATGTCCGCTGCCACTTCTATCTTGTCACAGGTGGCTCTCCTCACATCGCCATCAGATTCGTACTGTTTCAGTCGGTCCTGAAGTTTCTTCATCTCTGTCTGTAAATATTTATTTGTATGCATATACAGTAAATAACGTAAATAATACAGTATGCAGAGGCAGAGATTGGAATTTCAATTAAGGCTATATTGTCTATAAATACATCATGTCTATAAATACATCGATTAGTTTTCATAAGAGATTTTATGATACAACACAACACTTTTAGCCTGAAGTGCGCATCACATAGGAGGTTAAAGTATTTGATATAAAGTATTTTAGTAAGTGAGTGAGTTTAGTGTTACGCCGCACTCAGCAATATTCCAGCTATATGGCGGCGCTCTGTAAATACAGACAATCCAGCGCTCAACAGCATGAGCATCGATCTGCGCATTTGGGAACCGATGACATGTGTCACCAAGTTAGCGAGCCTGACCACCCGATCCCGTTAGTCGCCTCTTACGACAAGCATGGGTTACTGAAGATCAATATTCTAACCTGGACCGTCACGGGTATAAAGTATTTGAGAACGATAAACCAAGATATTTGTTTAGAGAAACACCTTAGAAAGTAACATCTCCATAATGCCATTTTTTATATTTACTCAGAATTTCGCCCAGGGGAAGCTCTGGATAGATCTGAATGCCTCCCTAACAAGCTGAGTCTGTTTCTAGAACCAAGTCATTTAGAACATATTAAACAAAAACTATATTTTATATATTTAACACAGAAGATAACATCAGTATGACCAGAATGGCTATTTGTATACATTTCTGGTGAGCCCCCGTGCACGTTTCATTCGCTCCCCAATTTAGATCTATCAACAGAGTCTAAAGTGAAAAAAACTACAAAGGGTGGGTACACTTTACCTCGCTTTTTGCAGTATAAAATGATTGTTAGTAGTAGAAAGCCGACCAGGAATTCGAAAAATTTATCACATAATTCACCCCAAAACTGTAATCTCTTATGTGAGTAGGACAGACTGAATGTACCAAAAAGGACTAAGAATTGTTATACCTCTGTCGTTGGCTGGTAGGTTAGTATCCCCTTTGTGTGGGTCTTGTAATAACGATAATCATCTAATTGGTTTTAATTTCATCTTGGGTGTCTGAGTCAAATTCAGTTTTTAAGCAAGCTATGAAAGAGAAACTCCTGGTGAATCAGTTGACTAAATGCACTAATCAAGAAGCTGTTATCCATAAGGATCCTGTATAAATGGCACTGTTAATATTGTCATGCGAATATATTACCAAATATAGTCTAGCAAAGGAACCTCTTTTCCCGCAATGTTCACTCCGACCTAGTTCATAGTGACCCCCAATAGCTACTGCTAATGACTTAAGTTACACATTGTATCCAAATATCCAATCTTCATTCATGTCTGAGTCTTACGGCTAAGCCATCACGACAAGTCCCCAAAAGGCAAATCAATGAGTGAACTTACTTGTAGCGTATCGACCTGACGTCTCAGTTTCCCCACCTCCTCCTCCGCCTTGGCCCTAGCTATCTTCTGTTCATTGATCTTCTTGTCTGCGTCCAGCTTCACAGACATTATAACACCTGTTGTCAAATAGTTTATGTTTTATAATTCACAGCAAATCTCAAGGCAAGGAATACAATCAGCGTGTGGATCATTGCGACCGTACGTGTCAAGGCTTCTCTGAGACATCCACGTATAGTTATAGGCTTACTTGGTGGTTATTACCCATTATTGGCTAGTTGGCATTATTCTCAGCAGGAATCCCCTACACACAAGTGTAGTATTTGTCTGACAGGTCTCCTTAATATTCACATTTACTATGTCAACAATCACATTTGCCAATCTAGTTCCAATCTACTGGAACACACGCCAAAGAGCATAACTGAATACCATTTATTATTCTTGTTATTCTCCATAACCTGAGCAAAACCATGAGCCCTGCCGCGTCTCGTGCTGCTGACGTCACAGACACGAAGGAGAAAGCGATGTCCATCGAAAAGGAGACTAGAACGATGATGGCATCGAACACCTGAAATTAACAAGCACATGTAGAGTTACTTGACTGTTGGCATAATCCATGCATTGGGACATCCGTTACAGCTGTAACACACATTAGGACAGAGGTGGTTACATGTTACATGTTACATGCGATGTCTATCATATAACTGATGAAGACAAGGCATGTACATTGTGGATGTGAACCGAGTTGGACAAAGGTTGTGGTTCAATAGCTCGTATTTGTTTAGATGAGAGCAGAAGTGATTTTACATTCTCGATATAATGTTTAAGAAGATAACTGAACGAAATGATGTGTATAATAAGGTTTTGCTTTCAACACCGCTGTTTATAAGTACACCCGTCTCCCTGACATGTGCCATTGTCCTGCTGGGGCGTGCAATGGAAGCGCGTACCTCCTTACCACATAGAATCCAAAATGCAACGAGACATTCAAAGGTGTTTCTAAGTACAGATATTTGACATGTCAACTATATTCTGGAAAAATATTTTAAGAACGATGTAATGATCGTTACAGGCTCTGACCGACGGCGCATCAAAATTTACCTTTTCATATATCATATATATCACAGAATGGCCATGAGTTGTACCACTAGACACTGACACTTTCCCCGGCATAAACACTAAAACATTGGCATTCAAATGCCCACGACTCTATTCTGCAGAATTCTGCAATATTTGACAGCCAACGCTCTTGTAGTTGTATGAGATTACGCGTGTACACCACGGACATGCTTCTCAACACAAAGAGATGTTCTAGTGTTGACAAAAGGGAAGAAGATACCCACTGTGCATGGTCAATGGCTACTAGGTCAGCGTGACCCGCTGTTGCCAGGTTATGTCAAATAAGGACATATTACTGCATTTTTGCCAAAGACTGTCTCGTAATTTTAATGTCAAGTCCGCTTTCAATCGATACCATGCACGTCATGATGGTCGACCACCGCAACTCCAGTTTAATAGGTAGGAAAACCAGGTTCCTGTCTACCCACTGCTGACATGATCAGGCCGAGACTACACTGAGTTTATGGCTTCAGGAAATCTCTGTTAATATGCGATAGAGAAAATGTCGACATGGCACGCGTGATCACTCGAGGTGTTGCTATCAAATCAGTGCTGATGGGGAGATTCTGGAACAGACGCTGAGAACATGAAAGGCAAACTCCACACAGCTCTTGTTTCAGAAGCATAAACAATGAACCAAATAATTCAGATTTACAAGTGGGTAGGGTATCAAAATGTTGTTGCTATGCAGCATTGGTATTTCTTAAAGACCACCGTTAACTGCGCCCGTTTCAAATGCCTCATTGGTCAAGGTAACACAGGGTTGAAGAACGTCCCTGGATATTTTGCCACATGTGGTATGTCGGTGCGGAGAACGAAGTTTGTCTTTGCATCTGCCTTGTGCAGCTGGTGCTAGCATGATAATAACTTAGGAGCTACGAGGAATTATGGTTTATCTTTCCAAAAGGAAGTAATGTCATGTCATCTGTGACAGTAAGTCCCAAGGGAAAGATAAACTGTGATTCCCTATTCGTGTCGGTTATTCTCATCCTTGCCAATCATCAAATTTACAACGAATGTCTCCATATCCAATCCCTAAACACCTTGAAGATTTCTTGTGTCTGTAAGCCCAAACAAATACGTCCCCACACACCTGTCTCCACGACTGGATTGTGTAAGATAACTCGCTAGTAGCTTCCACGTTAGTACCTTAGTGTCACATACATTACAAATATAACAGCACGCTTAATTCAAGAAACATGTTGCATTTCACTCGTTACCTTTAACAAATACATGTAAATATGTTGGTACGTGTCAACATCGGTGAGTGAGAGAACGTCGGTTGAAATGGGTCTCACGGGTTTGCATAAACTTACAACGTAAGCCAATTTTTCGTTTTCATCAACAAGTCGAAACAAGACATGCTTCCCACAGGGTAATGGATGGATACGGACTATTTGTCGGTATTTATTCAGAATCCAGAGTTATGACATCTCTCATTCCATATAGGCGAGTAGATGAAACAACGAACGAATGAAAAGGAGCAAAGAAAATAAAAGACCGAGTTAGAAAGCCTGTAATTCCGGGAAGCATTACAGAATATTTACTACCTCTATCCGGCTTTCCTTATGGGTAAGAATATGTAAACATGCCTGTGTGTTAAACCGTCACCCTGTTACAGGAACATGTATGTAGTGCTAGTTCTGTCTGTACACTACACAAACTAACACTGTTGTGTTGCAAGGAAGATGGATCAGCCAGTCACCCATGGGAAAATCCACTTAATGTCTCTGAGACATTTTGTAAATAAATAGTTTGTTCAAAAATATGTCCGAAGTGAATAGTTTGTTGTCAGTGCTGAAAATATGAATAGTTTGAATTTTCCATATTAGTTTTTAATTTCAATATTTTCTTGAAATCAAACTATCAGAACAAATGAAACTACGATACAAATATATTGTTCTCACAAACTATTCACGCCCTCCCTTACAAATCAAAATGATGCTACCTAATTTGTTGTGCAGAGTTTTGTCCTGTACACCCGTGATCATGGGCTCCAGATCCAGGTTCGCCTGTCTCTGTTTCTTTGTCTGTCAACACAGAGCTGGCCTCTCCACATCAATCTCACAGCCCGTGGCATAAATGTTACACTGTTCAAACACACCAATTCATTCACTCACTACAAGTCATGCAAAGTAAGCTAGGAATACCTACCTCAGCTTTATGTTTCAATAAATGTGTTCCCTCAGCTATTATTTTACATATAACCTGAAAGTATAACCGCATTGTATTAGATCTGTCACTGAACATGGGAGGAAATGTTTCATATCTTCATTTAGAATAAAAAAGTAGGAGAAACCATGCTCCCATAAATAGAATTACATTTGTGACATCAGAAAAAGATAAAATGTTAAAATATAATCCGTTCGAAACGAGATGATGCCTTCAGTAACTGAAGCCACGTTGTCAAGACATGTAGATGCACCTACCTCCACTACAAATATAGCTAATATTGTCAAGCTAGCGTAATGGAGCGAATGTTCGACAATTTCTTTGTTACTGTGATGATGATGTTGATGGTGTACATGATGCTGAGTATCGTTGCTATTGATATAAAAATGATTGTCTGTTGCATTCGTGTCCGTTATGTGCACGTATTTGTCTCCAGAATGATGTTCAGTTGATCTTGTCATTCTCCGGGAAAGTCCGTGGTGTTCCGTCTCATTGTAGACGCCCATTTCGTACCAGGCTGCCGTGTGATTGGTATGTGTTGCATTGATATGAGTCTCAACTGGGCCATTGTCCGGAACTGAAAATATATGATATGATATTACTAAAGATACAATGTTTAGATATTGCTTTGGTAGAACTGGCAAAATGAGGAAGGGAGTTATGTCCTGGCTCCGTGCAGCTCACTCAATTAATAACTCAAATCAAATTTAAGTTCCCCCAGAATATCTCCACCATTTAGTCAACTTTCCTCGACCACGGACCTAAATATCTCTTACTCCTCGTATTACACCACAAATTCTCCTCTCACTCCTGATCCATGCAAACAAACCACCTCTCACTCCTGATCCATGCAAACAAACCAACTCTCACTCCTGATCCATGCAAACAAACCACCTCTGACTCCTAATATTGCCACTAAACCACCTCTCACCCCTGATCCATGCAAACAAACCACCTCTCACTCCTGATCCATGCAAACAAACCACCTCTGACTCCTAATATTGCCACCAAACCACCTCTCACCCCTGATCCATGCAAACAAACCACCTCTCACTCCTGATCCATGCAAACAAACCACCTCTCTCTCACTCCTAATATTGCACCAAACCACCTCTCACCCCTGATCCATGCAAACAAACCACCTCTCATCACTCCTGATCCATGCAAACAAACCACCTCTCACTCCTAATATTGCCACCAAACCACCTCTCACCCTGATCCATGCAAACAAACCACCTCTCACACCTGATCCATGCAAACAAACCACCTCTGACTCCTAATATTGCCACCAAACCACCTCTCACACCTGATCCATGCAAACAAACCACCTCTCACTCCTGATCCATGCAAACAAACCACCTCTCACTCCTTATCCATGCCACCAAACCACCTCTCACTCCTGATCCATGCAAACAAACCACCTCTCACTCCTAATATTGCCACCAAACCACCTCTCAATTATGATCCATGCTACCAAACCACCTCTCACTCCTGATCCATGCAAACAAACCACCTCTGACTCCTAATATTGCCACCAAACCACCTCTCAATTATGATCCATGCTACCAAACCACCTCTCACCCCTGATCCATGCAAACAAACCACCTCTCACTCCTGATCCATGCAAACAAACCACCTCTGACTCCTAATATTGCCACCAAACCACCTCTCACACCTGATCCATGCAAACAAACCACCTCTCACTCCTGATCCATGCAAACAAACCACCTCTCACTCCTAATATTGCCACCAAACCACCTCTCAATTATGATCCATGCTACCAAACCACCTCTCACACCTGATCCATGCAAACAAACCACCTCTCACACCTGATCCATGCAAACAAACCACCTCTCACACCTGATCCATGCAAACCAAACCACCTCTCACTCCTGATCCATGCAACCAAACCACCTCTCACCCTGATCCATGCAAATAAAACCACCTTCTCACACCTGATCCATGCAAACAAACCACCTCTCACACCCTGATCCATGCAAACAAACCACCTCCTCTCACACCTGATCCATGCAAACAAACCACCTCTCACTCCTGATCCATGCAAACAAACCACCTCTCACACCTGATCCATGCTACCAAACCACCTCTCACTCCTGATCCATGCAAACAAACCACCTCTCACTCCTGATCCATGCAAACAAACCACCTCTCACACCTGATCCATGCAAACAAACCACCTCTCACACCTGATCCATGCAAACAAACCACCTCTCACACCTGATCCATGCAAACAAACCACCTCTCACTCCTGATCCATGCAAACAAACCACCTCTCACACCTGATCCATGCAAACAAACCACCTCTCACACCTGATCCATGCAAACAAACCACCTCTCACTCCTGATCCATGCAAACAAACCACCTCTCACTCCTGATCCATGCAAACAAACCACCTCTCACTCCTGATCCATGCAAACAAACCCACCTCTCACTCCTGATCCATGCAAACAAAACCACCTCTCACTCCTGATCCATGCAAACAAAACCACCTCTCACTCCTGATCCATGCAAACAAAACCACCTCTCACTCCTGATCCATGCAAACAAACCACCTCTCACTCCTGATCCATGCAAACAAACCACCTCTCACTCCTGATCCATGCAAACAAACCACCTCTCACACCTGATCCATGCAAACAAACCACCTCTCACACCTGATCCATGCAAACAAACCACCTCTCACACCTGATCCATGCAAACAAACCACCTCTCACTCCTGATCCATGCAAACAAACCACCTCTCACTCCTGATCCATGCTACCAAACCACCTCTCACTCCTGATCCATGCAAACAAACCACCTCTCACTCCTGATCCATGCAAACAAACCACCTCTCACACCTGATCCATGCAAACAAACCACCTCTCACCCCTGATCCATGCAAACAAACCACCTCTCACTCCTGATCCATGCCACCAAACCACCTCTCACTCCTGATCCATGCAAACAAACCACCTCTGACTCCTAATATTGCCACCAAACCACCTCTCAATCATGATCCATGCTACCAAACCACCTCTCACTCCTGATCCATGCAAACAAACCACCTCTCACTCCTAATATTGCCACCAAACCACCTCTCAATTATGATCCATGCTACCAAACCACCTCTCACACCTAATCCATGCAAACAAACCACCTCTCACACCTGATCCATGCAAACAAACCACCTCTCACTCCTGATCCATGTCACCAAACCACCTCTCACTCCTGATCCATGTCACCAAACCACCTCTCACACCTGATCCATGCAAACAAACCACCTCTCACACCTGATCCATGCAAACAAACCACCTCTCACTCCTGATCCATGCAAACAAACCACCTCTCACACCTGATCCATGCAAACAAACCACCTCTCACTCCTGATCCATGCAAACAAACCACCTCTCACACCTGATCCATGCAAACAAACCACCTCTCACTCCTGATCCATGCAAACAAACCACCTCTCACTCCTGATCCATGCTACCAAACCACCTCTCACTCCTGATCCATGCAAACAAACCACCTCTCACACCTGATCCATGCAAACAAACCACCTCTCACACCCTGATCCATGCAAACAAACCACCTCTCACACCTGATCCATGCAAACAAACCACCTCTCACACCTGATCCATGCAAACAAACCACCTCTCTCACTCCTGATCCATGCAAACAAAACCACCTCTCACTCCTGATCCATGCAAACAAACCACCTCTCACTCCTGATCCATGCAAACAAACCACCTCTCACACCTGATCCATGCAAACAAACCACCTCTCACTCCTGATCCATGCAAACAAACCACCTCTCACTCCTGATCCATGCAAACAAACCACCTCTCACACCTGATCCATGCAAACAAACCACCTCTCACTCCTGATCCATGCAAACAAACCACCTCTCACTCCTGATCCATGCAAACAAACCACCTCTCACCCCTGATCCATGCAAACAAACCACCTCTCACACCTGATCCATGCAAACAAACCACCTCTCACTCCTGATCCATGCAAACAAACCACCTCTCACTCCTGATCCATGCAAACAAACCACCTCTCACTCCTGATCCATGCAAACAAACCACCTCTCACTCCTAATATTGCCACCAAACCACCTCTCACCCCTGATCCATGCAAACAAACCACCTCTCACTCCTGATCCATGCAAACAAACCACCTCTCACTCCTGATCCATGCAAACAAACCACCTCTGACTCCTAATATTGCCACCAAACCACCTCTCACACCTGATCCATGCAAACAAACCACCTCTCACTCCTGATCCATGCAAACAAACCACCTCTCACTCCTAATATTGCCACCAAACCACCTCTCACCCTGATCCATGCAAACAAACCACCTCTCACACCTGATCCATGCCACCAAACCAACTCTCACTCACTATGATCCATGCTACCAAACCACCTCTCACTCCTGATCCATGCAAACAAACCACCTCTCACTCCTAATATTGCCACCAAACCACCTCTCAATTATGATCCATGCTACCAAACCACCTCTCACACCTGATCCATGCAAACAAACCACCTCTCACACCTGATCCATGCAAACAAACCACCTCTCACACTCCTGATCCATGCCACCAAACCACCTCTCACACCTGCTGATCCATGTCACCAAACCAACTCTCACACCTGATCCATGCAACCAAACCACCTCTCACACCTGATCCATGCAAACAAACCACCTCTCACACCTGATCCATGCAAACAAACCACCTCTCACACCTGATCCATGCAAACAAACCACCTCTCACTCCTGATCCATGCAAACAAACCACCTCTCACACCTGATCCATGCTACCAAACCAACTCTCACTCCTGATCCATGCAAACAAACCACCTCTCACACCTGATCCATGCTACCAAACCACCTCTCACTCCTGATCCATGCAAACAAACCACCTCTCACACCTGATCCATGCAAACAAACCACCTCTCACACCTGATCCATGCAAACAAACCACCTCTCACACCTGATCCATGCAAACAAACCACCTCTCACACCTGATCCATGCTACCAAACCACCTCTCACACCTGATGATGCCATGCCACCTCTCACCTCTCACTCCAAACCCACCTCTCACTCCTGATCCATGCAAACAAACCACCTCTCACACCTGATCCATGCAAACAAACCACCTCTCACTCCTGATCCATGCAAACAAACCACCTCTCACTCCTGATCCATGCAAACAAACCACCTCTCACCCCTGATCCATGCAAACAAACCACCTCTCACTCCTGATCCACCAAAACCTCTCAAACCATCCTCTCACCACCTGATCCATGCAAACAAACCACCTCTCACACCTCCTGATCCATGCAAACAAACCACCTCTGACTCCTAATATTGCCACCAAACCACCTCTCAATTATGATCCATGCAAACAAACCACCTCTCACCCCTGATCCATGCAAACAAACCACCTCTCACTCCTGATCCATGCAAAAAACCCTCTGACTCCTAATATTGCCACCAAACCACCTCTCACACCTGATCCAATGCAAACAAACCACCTCTCACTCCTGATCCATGCAAACAA